GAATAAAGCCAAGCCTGATGACCACCGCTCTCGGCCAGGCCGGCCCGCAGTGAGTCACCTGGTGCAGGCATGGCCTGCCTCATCCCGCTTTGGGGCTTAGCAACAGGATGGCGTCAGGGGTGGGGTCTCTACTGACCTACTGAGAAGGGCTGTGGGGATGGAGGGCCTGGTGCTTCTCGTGGTACTAACCTTTTCTAACCTCTCTCCTAACCTTTCTCCTGGCTGCCCTTCTTCCCTTGTGGCCCCTTCCAGAGCTATAAGCGAGCAATTGGTGAGGTTAGTGAGATGGGCCTGCTTGTGGGAGCCCCTCCTATGGCCCTGCAAGGGTCTCCTAGCACCCTTTGTCTACCTCCACCCAGGCCCACCTTCTCCCTACCCCTCACCTGGCTCCTCCCTGCAGGACTTCGTGTTGCTGAAAGAACGGACCCTGGACGAGGCCCCTCGGCCTCCCAAGAAAGCCATGGACTACTCATCATCCAGCGAGGAGGTGGAGAGCAGCGAGGAGGATGAGGAGGAGGGCGAAGGCGAGCCATCAGAGGGGAGCAGAGACACCCCTGGGGGCCGGTATGGCATCAGGGGTGGGGCCCTCCTGCTCCAAGCCACAGGGAGGGCAGGAAGTGGCGCGGGGAGAGGTGGGGCTTTGGGGCATGTCTGAGGGAGAGTGGCTCCCTCCTCTAGAGAGTGGGCTGAGGGTGCAGATTCCTTCTCTCTCCCACTGTCGTGTGTGTTGTGGGGTGGCCTCTTCAGGTGCCTGTCTGCCCTGTGCTAGCCTGCCCTGCGTGCCCTTCAGGGAAGCACCTCACAGTGGAGCAGGCTGTTTTGAATAGAGAAAAAGCCTGGGCTCTGGCTGCCATTTGCTGCCTTTGGCACTTCCATGGTGGGCAGGACCTAGAGGAGCCCCACCTTCTTTTTTCACAGCAGTGATGGGGATACAGACAGCATCAGCACCATGGTGGTCCACGACGTCGAGGAGATCACCGGGACCCAGCCCCCGTATGGGGGCGGCACCATGGTGGTCCAGCGTGTGAGTAAGCCTCCGCTCCCCTGCCCTGTACCTGCGTGTCATCCTTAGCCCCGTGCCGACCCTGCTCTCTGTCCCGTAGACCCCTGAAGAGGAGCGGAGCCTGCTGCATGCTGACAGCAACGGGTACACAAACCTGCCTGATGTGGTCCAGCCCAGCCACTCCCCCACCGAGAACAGCAAAGGCCAAAGCCCGCCCTCAAAGGATGGGAGCAGTGACGTAAGTGGGCCGGAGGCAGGTGTGTCGGAGAGAAGACCCCTGGTGGTGGGCAGGAGATGGGGGAGGATGGGGTGGAGCACCGGGAACTGGCCAGCGGGGGTGGGGGGTGCCAGTTGGGGAGCTGGAGCCTGGGAACAGCAGCAGGGGCAAGGCCGAAGCTGGACTTGCACTTGTTTGCCTGACTGCTGCCCCCCGCCACACCACCACAGTACCAGTCTCGTGGGCTGGTAAAGGCCCCTGGCAAGAGCTCATTCACGATGTTTGTGGATCTTGGGATCTACCAGCCTGGAGGCAGTGGGGACACCATCCCCGTCACAGGTGAGGATGGGATCCAGGGGCAACCTGGGGGGAGCAGAGGTGGTCTTGAGATGCAGCCTTATAAAGCATAGGCACAGGACCTCTCCCTTGAGCCCTAGCTCCTGCCCAGGCATAGAGGCAAGGAAAGGGTGACCCCTCCACAGGAGAGGAAATGCCTAGAATAGCCCAGGGACCTGGGCAAAGGCTCAAAGCTAATGAGGGATAGAACTGGGACCTGAGACAGGGCTTTTGACTCCAAGGCCCGTGCTCTATCCCCACTCCTTTGCACCTCCCCATCCTCCCATCTCTCTCCTTTCTGCCTATGATGAGGTGCCAAGACCTGATAGAGGGGATGGAGGGAAAAAGAGCTGGGGCGAGAAGCTACAGCTCCTCCTTCCGCCTCCTCCTTCTGGCAGCCCTAGTGGGTGGAGAGGGCACTCGGCTCGACCAGCTGCAGTACGACGTGAGGAAGGGTTCTGTGGTCAACGTGAATCCCACTAACACCCGGGCCCACAGTGAAACCCCTGAGATCCGGAAGTACAAGAAGCGATTCAACTCCGAGATTCTCTGTGCAGCCCTTTGGGGTAAGCCAGGCCAAGGGTAGCTAAGAAGGGTCTGGCGTGGCTTCCATGCTCCTGGTTAGATGAGGGCCTGGCTGAGCCTCTGACCTGCCAAGGGTTCCTATTGCAGGGGTCAACCTACTGGTGGGCACAGAGAATGGGCTGATGTTGCTGGACCGAAGTGGACAGGGCAAGGTGTACGGACTTATTGGTCGCCGACGCTTCCAGCAAATGGATGTGCTGGAGGGGCTCAACCTGCTCATCACCATCTCAGGTACAGGGCTGGCCGGTGGGGGAGGGAGGAGGGGCTCAGCTTCTTGGCGCTGTCCCCTTCTTTTGCCTGGGAGGAGGGCAGCCTTGGTCCAGGTGCTGGAAGGTGGGGCCATGCTTTCTCACCCCTTGTGGTATGCAGACAGAGGAGGGCAGGGCAGTGGCAGCCGGGCCTCAGCTGAGAATGGGGATGTGTGTATGTCCGTCCGTCTCTCAGGGAAAAGGAACAAACTGCGGGTATATTACCTGTCCTGGCTCCGGAACAAGATTCTGCACAACGACCCAGAAGTGGAGAAGAAGCAGGGCTGGACCACTGTGGGGGACATGGAGGGCTGCGGCCACTACCGTGTTGGTGAGGATGCCACAACAGAGTGGCCAGCGAACACTTGTCATGAAGATAGAGAAATGGGCCTGGGTCAAAACCTGGCAGCCAGGGTCTTGGGGCCTGGGTGGGGTAGTCTAGTGACAGACACAGGGAGGTGCCCCAGGCCCAAGAAGAGAAGTCTCAGCATCCCTTTTTTTCTCCTGCCCCCAGTGAAATATGAGCGGATTAAGTTCCTGGTCATTGCACTCAAGAGCTCTGTGGAGGTGTACGCCTGGGCCCCTAAACCCTACCACAAATTCATGGCCTTCAAGGTAATCCCAGCCTCAGCCCCCAACCCCATCCCCAGTCCCAGTGCCTCTCCCCCTGCCCCTGAGCCCTCCTCTCCTCCGATTGCTCGCAGTCCTTTGCCGACCTCCCTCACCGCCCTCTGCTGGTCGACCTGACAGTGGAGGAGGGGCAGCGGCTCAAGGTCATCTACGGCTCCAGTGCTGGCTTCCATGCCGTGGATGTCGACTCGGGGAACAGCTATGACATCTACATCCCTGTGCATGTGAGCTTGGCGGGGCTGCTAGGGAGTGGGATGGCCCAGTCTGGGCGCCAGCCATGAGACCCCAGCCCACCTCCTCCTCCCCAGATCCAGAGCCAGATCACACCCCATGCCATCATCTTCCTCCCCAACACCGACGGCATGGAGATGCTGCTGTGCTACGAGGACGAGGGTGTTTACGTCAACACGTACGGGCGGATCATCAAGGATGTGGTGCTGCAGTGGGGAGAGATGCCCACCTCTGTGGGTGAGTTAGCCCTGCCCCCGAGCCAGATACCCCTGGAGTGGTCCCTGCTCAACCCCTCACATCTGTTCCCCACAGCCTACATCTGCTCCAACCAGATAATGGGCTGGGGTGAGAAAGCCATTGAGATCCGCTCTGTGGAGACAGGCCACCTGGACGGGGTCTTCATGCACAAACGAGCCCAGAGGCTCAAGTTCCTGTGTGAGCGGAATGACAAGGTGAGAGGCCCTTTCCCTCTGAAAGCCATTCGGCCCCTGGGCAGAGTTCTAGGGGAGAGGATGGTGGTATCTTGCTGCAAGCAGACCTCTCTGGGAGCTTGGAGAACAATCACTCCCTCCCACAGCCCTGCGCTCTCTGCAGCTCCTGAGGACTTTACAGCTGGCGCCCAGGGAGCGGGTGGTACATCCTGTCCCATAACATCTGGCCCGTTCCTCCAGGAGAGGGCACTCTTATCCGAAGCCTCTCTCCCTCTCACCTCTTCTGCCCCCCCGCTTCTTCCCCTCTCCCAGTTGAGACCACCAACATTTGGTGACTTCTCCTCCTGCCCCCACCAGGTGTTTTTTGCCTCAGTCCGCTCAGGGGGCAGCAGCCAAGTTTACTTCATGACTCTGAACCGTAACTGCATCATGAACTGGTGACGGGGCCCTAGGCTGGGGCTGCCTAACACTGGACCCAGCTCCCCCTGCAGCCAGGCTTCCTGGGCCGCTCCTCTTTCCTCTCCCTGGGCTTTTGCTTTTACTGGTTTGATTCACTGGAGCCTGCTGGGAACGTGACCTCTGATCCCCGATGCTTTGTGATCACGTGACCATCCTCTTCCCCAACATGTCCTCTTCCCAAAACTGTGCCTGTCCCCATCTTCTGGGGAGGGACACAGCCACCCCTTACCAGGAATTGAGTGGGCCTGGCCCCTCCCCCCTTTTCTCCATTTAAGAGGAGAGTGCTTGGGGCTTGAACCCCTTACCCCACTGCTGCTGACTGGGCAGGGTCCTGGACCCCTTTATTTGCACGTCAGGGGAGCCGGCTCCCCCCTTGAATGTACCAGACCCTGGGGGGGGTCACTGGGCCCTAGATTTTTGGGGGGTCACCAGCCACTCCAGGGGCAGGGACCATTTCTTCATTTTCTGAAAGCACTTTAATGATTCCCCTCCCCCTAGACTCCAAGGAATGGAGGGGGGACCCCCGCCAGCCAAAACGTTCCCCCCTCCTAACCCTCATCTCTTCTAGCCCATGCCCTTCCCTGGTGGAGGGAGGGAGCAGGGAGCTCTCACTCTCCATGCCCCTTGCTTGCATCTGTATATAGTGTGAGCAGCAAGTAACCCTCCTCCTCCCTCCCCCCATCCCTCCTCAATGTAGTGGCCTTGGATATCCTGTTTGTTAATAAAGACAATTCAACCAGCTCCCACCATTCAGGCCCCATTTTTGCTTTCTCTCACCGTCCTGGATACTAGGCAGAGAGAGCCTCCAGGGTGGGGAAGAAAGGGACAGGGTGGGCGGAGATCTGCCTGTTAGTGAGTCTCAAGGGGGTAGCATGAGCAGTGCTGGGCCAAGAAAACCTAGAAAAAATGACTGACTGCAGGAGGGCCAGGGCAGCCTCAGCCCTAAACCTGTGAGCCTGAGGGCCACCAGCACTGAGGGTGTTTGGTTTCCACGCACTCCAGAGGGTTGCCCGGCTCCAGCCTCCCTGTGTGCAAGTCCTGCAAAGGGGTCTCCTGTTTGGCTGAGCTGAACAAAGATAGCTCAAAAGCTGGCAGCCTCCAGCGTCCGTGGGGCTGCCCCTGAGAAAGGCTGGGAGGTCAGCACGGCTGAATGAAGGGCAGTCCTTGCTTTCTGGAAGACTGGAACCCGAGAGCCTTCATGAACCGTTATTCTCTCCTGCCGACCCCTGGACTGGGGCCAGATCTACACAAGCCAAGGAATGGGCACACGGCAGCAGTGGGAAGGGATCATAATGCTGTGGTGATTCTGAAATTGATTTTTTCAAAATCCATTTCCTACTAGAGTTGGGTGGGAAGTTGAAGTCAGTGTGCACTAAGGCTGGATACACGGCGGGAAGGGGAGATCAGGCACTTGGTTGAAGTAGGCTCCGAGGAAGATGAGGCTGGAGCCCACGCTGAAGAGCACCAGAGCAGCCCAGAAGCAGATGTTGTCAAGGGCATTCCCCATGCGCACCCAGTCGGACACTTCCTGGGGAAAGGCCAGCACAGTAAAGAGAGATCTGCAGGAACCAGGGGCACGGGAGATCTGCCATGCACCACTGGCCTCTGGCTCCCGTCCCACCTCACTGGTGGCCTCTTGGTCTCTCGTGCTCTCAGCCACGAAGTTCACGGCATCCACACAGCAGCGGACCTCAGGGGCAGCAGCGCCCAGGCTCTGGCAGAAGGCAGCTGGCAGGGAAAACACCAGAGTGGGCCGTTAGCCTCTTCCGCAGCAGGCGGCCCACCGGCCGGGCCACTGTGCTCACCTGTCCAGGTCCCGTGCCGGTGCCTCTGTCCCTCAAACACAAGCTCGCTCCGCGGCTTTTTCAGTATGAGCTCCTCCGCACGGAGCAATAAGCCAACCGACGATGCCCGCCTTGGGGGCGAGGTGGCCAGAGGGGCCTCGGAGGGCGGCGGCGGTGGGGACCCCAGCAGGTGCGGCAGCAGCTCCAGTAGAACCTGGTGGGGGCGGGGGGCGGGGGGCGGGGGGCGGGGGCAGGACTTAGGGGGCAGGGCTAGGGCTAAGCCCGCCCCCACCCCAGGCCACACCCCACCCCCACGCTTACATGGCGCAGACGCCTGGACATGGCGTGGGTGGTGGGCGTCCGCAGGGACACGTTGAGCACAATGACGCAATTCATGACAATGAGTGTGGCGACAACCATGACGAAAATAAGGAACCTGAGGAGACCGGAATGAGTGATGTCACTGCTCCCCTTCCCAGCTATGGAAGGTGCTGTGCACCCTCTGACCTCACAAACACTTCTCCCCTCACGGGGTGGTTACGCCCTCCAGTTGCGCTCCCTCAGCAACTACAGACACGTCGCCCAGCCTTTCTCCCTTCCATCACCTTTGGCGGCCATGAAGGGGACCCCCAGCTCCCTGGACACCCTCATGTGGGTCTACCACTTCCACAGCTCCACCGAGGTAAGGCTACGCCCACCGAGGGCGGCACCTCGAGACCCAATGGGTATAGTTCTCCTGCGCGTCCCCATCCCCGTGACTACTGCCCTGTTCCTCCTCCAGGTGGCCCTCCAGCCCCCGCTTATGTCTTCCCTGGAACTCTCCGTGGCCGCAGCCCATGAGTATCTGGAACAGAGGTTCAGAGCGCTGAAGTCCCTGGAGCCACGGGAGCCAAAGGTGCAGGAGATGTCACCTGCCCCAAAGCCCACCCTGGGGCTGGTGTTAAGAGAAGCCGCGACCAGCCTCGTCAGCTTCGGCGCCACTTTGTTAGAGGTGGGGTCTGGGGGGCTGAGGATACGCAGCGATCGGGCAGCCGCAGCAAGGACCTCGGCTTTCCCGCTAACCCCTGGGTCCCCAATGCAGATCTCAGCCCTGTGGCTGCAGCAGGAGGCGCGGCGACTAGAAGGCGGCGACAGCAGCACGGGCCCAGCCCTAGACGTCGGGGATCCGAGTGCAGCGCTGGCCCAAATAGCCCAGGCCGCTGGGCAGGGAGCTTGGCAAGCTGGGGCTGCAGTGGGTGCCGTGACACGGCTCCTCGTCCAGGGAGCATGGCTATGCCTATGTGGACGGGGTGTGGAGGGGTCTGCCTCATTCCTGCCACAGTGGCAACAGCAGCTGGGCCTCAGAATCCCCAGAGAACCGGTGAGCTCGGGATGTCGGGTGAGTTGGGGGCCAGAGGCGGCGGGGCTGGGAAGGCACTGAGCCGGACCATCTCCTTACAGAGATACTCAGGAGACCTCCAGGTGATGTCCAGCAGCAGTGCAGAGGACGGCGGACCAGAGAATCCATCCCAGTCCCAGCCCCATCCCGCGTCCAAATAAAGCTCAGGAGGGGGCGAGACAGCCAGAGTTTCTCCCCAGGTCTCAGGGTTTTGCCACGCCCCACCCAGCCAGCCCTTGGCCCCACCCTTCAGACGGCCACGCCCGTGCCAGGGGCACCACGTGGACCCGCTTAGCCCTCACCTGCCTAGCAGCGGCACGCTCAGAGAAGTCTCTGGGATTTTCTGGGCAATGAGGAACAAGAAGACGGTCTGGGCGAGCAGGACGTTGATGGAAACTGTGCATTTCTGGCCACCGGCTGGAGGGATCGCCAGTGAGAGCGGGCCCCACCTCCAGGAGCTAGCCCGGGTTTGGGTGTGGGTTCGGGGCTACTGCTTACCCTGCGCAGGCAGGAAGTAGGCGAGCAGCACCAGGCCCGAGATGAGCACGCAGGGCACGATAATGTTAATGACGTAGAAGAGCGGCTTCCGTCGGATGATAAGCGAGTAGATGACGTCAGTCTCCCCTGAGCCATCGGTGGCGCCAACGTCATGACGGCGGATCATCCCCGGGCAGAAGTCGATGGCCCACTCACCGTTCTCTGTGGGACAGGGTCGCGGTCAGCCGGAGCGGGGCACCCGCCAAGCCGACAGCAGGCTGAGGCGGCGGCTGCGGCTGTCTGCGCCAGGGTCATGGGCCGTCAGGATGGGGGCAATTCAGGCGGAAAGGGGCAGTCGGTGAGGGTACAGAAAGTGAAAAGGCAGGACTAGAGTAACAGTGGAGAATGATTTCGGAGTCCAGGCCCGGTATTTCACGCCTGTAATCCCAGCACTTTGGGAAGCCAAGGTGGGTGGATCACCTGAGGTCAGGAGTTCAAACCCCATCTCTACTAAAAATACAAAAATTAGCTGGGCATGGCGGCATGCAGCTATAATCTCAGCTACTCAGGAGGCTGAGGTTGGAGACTCGCTTGAACCTGGGAAGCAGAGGTTTCAGTGAGATCATGCCACTACACTCCAGCCTGGGCGACAAGAGCAAAACTACGTCTTTAAAAATAAAAAAATAAGCCGGGCGCGGTGGCTCAAGCCTGTAATCCCAGCACTTTGGGAGGCCGAGGCGGGTGGATCACGAGGTCGAGAGATCGAGACCATCCTGGTCAACATGGTGAAACCCCGTCTCTACTAAAAATACAAAAAATTAGCTGGGCATGGTGGCTCGTGCCTGTAATCCCAGCTACTCAGGAGGCTGAGGCAGGAGAATTGCCTGAACCCAGGAGGCGGAGGTTGCGGTGAGCCGAGATCGCGCCATTGCACTCCAGCCTGGGTAACAAGAGCGAGACTCAGTCTCAAAAAAAAAAAAATAAAATAAAATAAAAAAATAAATAAAATAAAAATAAAAATAAAAAAATAAGCCGGGCGCGGTGGCTCAAGCCTGTAATCCCAGCACTTTGGGAGGCTGAGGCGGGCAGATCACGAGGTCAAGAGATCGAGACCATCGTGGTCAACAGGGTGAAACCCCGTCTCTACTAAAAATACAAAAAATTAGCTGGGCATGGTGGCACGTGCCTGTAATCCCAGCTACTCAGGAGGCTGAGGCAGGAGAATTGCCTGAACCCAGGAGGCGGAGGTTGCAGTGAGCCGAGATCGCGCCATTGCACTCCAGCCTGGGTAACGAGCGAAACTCCGTCTCAAAAAATAAATAAATAAATAAAAATAAAAATAAAAATAAAAATAAAAAAATAAAAACGATTTCAGGACAGGGGCAAGCTAAACCCAGTTGCGGAAGCCATCCTCCAGTGTTGTTGGTCAGGGGCAACCCCACTCTGGAAGTCCCCTCTCTGGACCCTGTCTAGAAGCAGGTTTTTCTGAGCAGGCCGGGGATTCACCAGTATAGGCCTCAGTGTCGATGTCGATCTTGTTGATGGTCTCACCATCGTCGTCTACGGCAAAGGTTAACTCCACCTCTTTGGCATTGTACGTCTGGGAGCTGTGGAGCCAGGGCCAGGCACCCACCCCACAAGCTCTGACCTGGGCCCTGGCCCCAGGCCCAGCCTTGGAAGCTGGGATCTTGCTGGGCTGTGAGGCTCCGCCCCTTCACCCAGGCCCAGCCCAAGCACCCCCATTCCCACCTGGACCTCCGACCTCGCTGGAGCTTCCCTCCCGGGGCTGACGCCTGGCTCCGCCTGGCTCCGCCTCCAACGTGAGGCCCCGCCCCGAGGGCGGTGCTTCCCCGGCTGGCCCCGCCCCCACGGGGCCCTCCCATAATCGTCCGAGCCTCGGAGCAACTCTTCCCACCGGAAAATGAGCGAGCAGTTCTGCCAGTCGAAGGGGAAGTAGGTGACCTCCACGGCACAGACGCTGCGGTAGATGGCCGGAGGCAACCACGTCACGGAGCCGCCCTCGTAGATCAACACGTTGGCGTCGTAGGCCACGCCGAACTGACCGTCAATACTGTGGGCTCGGCGAAACCGAGCTTTTTGCCCAGATCCGCACCCCCTCGGAGTATCCCGTTCCCCAGCCAAGTCCAGCCCGCACCCCAGGCCCCCTTCCCTCCAGCCTGGTGTCCGGCCCGCTCCTCACTTGTTCTCCAGCACAATCTCTGGCAGCCATACGAGTTCTGAAGGGACTCTCAGGGTTCCTATGCCCCCAAAGTCATCCTTGCTGTAGTTGAGTCGGTAATCCTGCCAATCCTAAGGAGTAGGGGACGGAAGGACTTGTGCCCTGCATCTCGCAGCTGGCGCTGCCTGGAGGGGATCGGAAGAAAAGGGGTCCCCTGCACAAGACCTCACACTTCCCCCCAGATTTGACTCACGATTCCAATCCAGACGCTGGTGGTGAGAGTCTCCTCTTTTTCATTCTGCAGATGGGAGATGGGGATGGATGGAAGTGAGATTTCAGGGCCAGATGTGAGCTTTAGGACAGCTCAGCGGCTGAGGCCAGAAGTGGAATTTTAGGCTTGAAGTGACGGTGGGAATATCTTACCAGTGAGATGAGATTCGTCAGGGTGACCTTGAGGCTGATGGTGACAGTATCCTCAGGCCCCCGCGCCGGCCGGCTTCCTGGGTCATAGTTGTCAAAGAGATGGTGATAAAGACGAAGCTCCTCGTTCTTCCCCACGCCCCTGCCTGTGATGGGGTCAAGAAGAAAAGGTCATTGGCAATGAAGAGGCTGGAGCACCTCTCCTCTCTGCCTCCTCTGGGTCCTCACAGGCCTCTGCGGCTGTGTCTTATCAGTATCTGTCTCCTAAACCAATTATACTGTGCCTGGGGACCAAATACTGTGTCTCAGTCTCCATCTTGGTCTCTGTCTTTGCCTTCCCAGTGCCTTTATGACAGTATCTGTATGTGTCCAATTGCCTCCCCCGGCCACAGTCCGTACCGAGGAGCCCCAAGAGGAGCAGGACCCCAAGCAGAGGCCCGGCCATCCTGCTGCCTGGTTCTCAGGGTTATTCTGAGCTCTGGCAGGCTTGGAGGAGGCAGGCCAGGGTGCCTGTGTGAGGGGGAGGAAAGTGTTAGTTCCGGGCTGTATTAGGGGACTGTTACCTAATCCTCTACTCACCCCTGCTACAGCTGGGGACATTTTGGCTGCTTCCAGAGGCAGCTGCCCCATCCTGTATTTCCTGCCCCGGCCCCCCCACCAGCAACAGCCGGGCCAGGCCCAGCCCAGCATCCTTTGCCTGGTCTTTGGCCAGCTCCCCAGCTGCAGAAGTGAGCCTCTCCTGAGAGGTATCTACAACCACAACCCTAGTAGCAAGGGGTGAGGGACACTGCTTTCAACAGGCACTGGTGTCCTTTGAGTAAGCTGCCCTTTATAGGTGACCCTGCCTAATGAACACATCTGGGGATGTGACACACCCCTTGCCTCCCATTCTCACCCCTGTGGAACACACACTATCGCCACCCACAGCCGGGCCAAGCTCATACTAATGCCTTTCCTGCCGACACAGTGGCAAAAACCAGTCTCCATAAAAACCTGATAGACAGGTGGTCACAGGGGATTAGCCCTGCGGTAACAGAGATTCCACCTGGCAAATGAGATCATGTGGTAATACAGGGCCCACCTCCTTCCACAACCTGATTACCAGGTTTGCTCATCCCAGTACCTCTGGACGTGAGCACCAGGCTGACTTGTATTTCTCCTTGTTTCTCCCTGCTGCCACCTTGTGGTCAGAGATGATAGTACAGTCTTCCCCATCCTACTCCCCTAAACACACACACCTGATGACACCCTAACTGATCCTTTCGATGTTCCTTTTATGGGGGTGAGGGAGAACAGGATTTCACTATCACCCAGACTGGAGTGCAGTGGCACCATCATAGCTCACTGCAGCCTCGCGAACTCCTGGGCTAGAGCAATCCTCCTGCCTCAGCTTCCCAAAGGATTAGGATTACAGGCATGAGCCACTGCACCTGGCCTCAGTGTTTCTTGTTGTTGTTTTTGAGAGGAGTCTCGCACTGTTGCCTGGGCTGGAATGCAATGGGGCAATCTCCACTCACTGCAACCTCAGCCTCCTAGGTTCAAGCAATTCTTCTGCCTCAGCCTCCCGAGTAGCTGGAATTACAGGCACCTGCCACCACCCCCAGCCAGTTTTTTGTATTTTTTAGTAGTGACAGGGTTTTACTATGTTGGTCAGGCTGGTCTCCAACTCCCGACCAAATGATGGGCCCGCCTCGGCCTCCCAAAGTGCTGGGATTACAAGCATAAGCCACCTCTCACCTGGCATCAGTTTCTTAAAGTCACCTTCTTGAACCATTCTAATCACCTGGAGGAGTGCTTGTTTTAAATGCAGAGTCCTAGGCTGGCTTCATTCCCAGAGAATTCTGATTTCAGGAATAGGGTGCTAGGAATCTGTATTTTTAGAAAATTTTTAGAACACTATCCAGGTGTTCCTCAGGAGGTAGGAGGGGCTGGCCTAAGCATGTTTTCTGCCGTACACCTCACTTCCTCACAGCAGTCCAGCAAAGCAGTGATCACTGTCCTGAATACATGAAAGAGGACTCTAAGGTCCGGGTTCACACAAGGAGACTGGCAATAATGCCTGAGATGTATCAATCAACTCTACTGACCATGTACACCTATGTTTATTTTACGCTTCACAAAACACTTTCACATCATCACTTTTGGGTCTCCTTTCCTCACCTGTGAGGTATATCATAATCGCCTCCATGTTACCAGCAAGGACACAACAAAGACCAGAGTGTCCATGGGGCTCCTTGTCCATTTCCCACACATTCGTGAAGCCTCTGTTTCCACTGCTGCCTTATTACCCCAGATTTTCCTTCCAGACTCCCTTTCTGGGTTTCTCTGACCCAGCCCACCTCTTTGCATGTGGCCGGTACATGGACTGGCTTTTTTTTTTTCTTCCCTGAGAATGAGTCTCATTCTGTTGCCCAGGCTGGAGTGCAGTGGCACAATCCCAGCTCACTGCAACCTCCACCTCCCAGGCTCAAGCGATTCTCCCGCCTCAGCCTCTCAAGCAGCTAGGACTACAGGTGACTGCCACCATGCTTTTTAGTAGAGGCAGGATTTTGCCATGTTAACCAGGATGGTCTCAATGTCCTGACCTTGTGATCTGCCCACCTTGGCCTCTGAAAGTGCTGGGATTACAGGTGTGAGCCACCATGCCCGGCCACATGGACCAGCTCTCAAATCTGTGCTGCTGCTTATTCCAGAGCCGCTGGGTCAGGGCTTGGGACAAGAGTTGTGATAAATGCAAATATTCAAACATTAATGGACACTTAACAAAGTTTCCCCTTACAGGACCAGGTGCTGTGGTTATTGAGATGAATAAAACAAGCTTCAAGGAGTTACCATCTCATGACAGAGACCTATCAACAGCCAGTGGAACTAGACTGTGAAAAGCATTTAAAAAAAAAAAAAAAAAAAGGCCGGGCACGGTGGCTCAAGCCTGTAATCCCAGCACTTTGGGAGGCCAAGGCAGGTGGATCACGAGGTCAAGAGACTATGACCATCCTGGTCAACATGGTATTAAAAAAAAAAATACAAAAAATTAGCTGGGCATGGTGGCATGTGCCTGTAATCCCAGCTACTTGGGAGGCTGAGGCAGGAGAATTGCCTGAACCCAGGAGGCAGAGGTTGTGGTGAGCCGAGATCGCGCCATTGCACTCCAGCCTGGGTAACAAGAGTGAAACTCCGTCTCAAAAAAAAAAAAAAAAGGTGCTATGAAAGCTGTACGTAGGGTGAATCAGATCTGTCAGAAAAGCAAGGTTTCGGGCCAGGAACGGTGTCTCATTCCTGTAATCCCAGCACTTTGGGAGGCCAAGGCGGGTGCATCACCTGAGGTCAAGAGTTTGAGACCAGCCTGGACAACATGGTAAAACCCCGTCTCTACTAAAAATACAAAAATTAGCCAGATGTGGTGGCAGATGCCTGTAGTCCCAGCTACTCGGGAGGCTGAGGCAGGAGAATTGCTTGAACTTGGCAGGCGGAGGTTGCAGTGGGCTGAGATTGCACCACTGCACTGCAGTGTTTTGAAGTGCATGTTAGAAAAAGCCTGTATTGGCTGGGTGCAGTGGCTTATGCCTGTAATCCAAGTACTTTGGGAGGCTGAGGTGGGCAGATCACTTGAGGTCAGGAGCTTGAGACCAGCCTAGCCAACAGGGTGAGACCTGATCTCTACTAAAAATACAAAAATTAGCCAGGTGTGATAACGCACCCTTAATCCCAGCTACTCAGGAGGCTGAGGCAGGAGAACCCCTTGAACCCAGGAGGTGGAGGTTGCAGCAAGCTGAGATCATGCCATTATACTTCAGCCTGAGAGACAGAGCTAGACTCTGTCTCAAAAAAAAAAAAGAAAAGAAAAGCAAGGTTTCAGCCAGGCACAGTGGCTCATTCCTGTAATCCTAACTCTTTGGGAAGCCAAGGCTGGAGGATCACTTGAGCCCAGGAGTTCAAGACCAGCCTGGGCAACACAGTGAAATCCCCATCTCTACAAAAATGAACAAAAAAGTTACCCAGTTGTGGCGGTGCATGCCTGTAGTCCCAGCTACTTGGGAGGCTTAGGTGGGAGGACTGCTTGAGCCTAAGAGATCAAGAGTACTGCCGGGCGCGGTGGCTCAAGCCTGTAATCCCAGCACTTTGGGAGGCCGAGGCGGGTGGATCACGAGGTCAAGAGATCGAGACCATCCTGGTCAACATGGTGAAACCCCGTCTCTACTAAAAATACAAAAAATTAGCTGGGCATGGTGGCACGTGCCTGTAATCCCAGCCACTCAGGAGGCTGAGGCAGGAGAATTGCCTGAACCCAGGAGGTGGAGGTTGCAGTGAGCCGAGATCGTGCCATTGCACTCCAACCTGGGTAACAAGAGTGAAACTCCGTCTCAAAAAAAAAAAAAAAAAAAAAGAGTACCGTGAGCTATGATCAAACCACTACACTCCAGCCTGGGTGACAAGTGAGACTTTCCAGCCATGTGTGATGGCTCATGCCCATAATCCCAGCACTTCGGGAGGCCAAGGCAGGTGGATCACCTGAGGTCAGGAGTTTAAGGCCAGCCTGGCCAACATGGTGAAACACCATCTCTACTAAAAACACAAAATTAGCTGGGTGTGGTGGCGAATGCCTGTAATCCCAGCTACTTGGGTGGCTGAAGCAGGAGAATCACTGGAACCCAGAAGATGGAGGTTGCAGTGAGCAGAGATCACGCCACTGCATGTGGGTCTGTGAGGGGGAGGTGCATGGCAAAATATTTGAGCTTATGTACATGACACTTGAGGTTGGGGTATGGAAAAATACTGACGTGGTAGTATGCGATTGGGAATGAAGTTCCTTGACTCTGAAAACAGGACAGGAAGTGGAGTGTGCGGCGTAACAAGAAACACTGAAAACAGCCTCCTGAGAATGCAGCTTGAGTGTGTATAAGGTCACAGGTGCCTCAGTAACCCATCTCAAATGACCATCTAGTGGATGTTTGTAGTTCATACAAGCCCTTTCAATAAATATTTGGTGGTCGGACGCTGGGGCGGACTCTCAGAAGAGCTACCCTCTAGCCCTGCTCAGCTGGAACTGTCTCAGTACTTCATTCTCAGCATTCACTGCAAACTACAAGCTCTAGCAACTGGTGCCTCCAACGTGATCACCTAGAATTTACTCATTAAGGTGAAAAGCTCATCAATTTTTTGGGAATCCCGGTAAGGGATTCCTCCCATCAGGAGGATGGGACACACACATGAGATAATCAGAGGCTAGGTTATCATGGGTCAAGAAATGACCAAAGAGCAGAAAGTACTTTTTAAAACAGTGCAACAGCTACTTAGGACTAACCAGTGCATTGTAGAGCCTGGAGCTCTACACAAGCTTATGCTCTTAATTCGGCAGGAATGCCCTTGCTTTCCTCATCAAGAAACCTTAGATTTAGCGTTATGGGAGCAGGTAGGCCCCTGCCTGAAAAGAGAATATGAGCAAGGTCATTTTACTAATGTTACCATTTTGACCACCTGGGCGCTGGTATGCTCTGCATTGTATCCT